AGTTTTTCCATATATTTGGAGGATTTTTTTTTTATCTTGAATGATGCAGCTAGTCTTTTAATTGGAGTTTCATTTATTAGCTTGACAGAAATTCAGAATGCTCGGAGTATCATGAATGTCCGTGCTGATATGCTAAACGCGTTACATCCTACAAACAAGGAGGTATGTGCTTAAAAATTGAAAATCGAGAGAAGGACAAATCCGGTAACTTTTCTATGGAGCTAAGCAGGAAGTCATTATTGACTTGGTGGAGCAGTGCCGCACCAACAAACAAAGAGTCGTTCACATCGTTAATTCAATTTCGTAAGGATGATCTTTTTTCTTTTACTATAACTTCCTAGTGCCCACGGTTCATTTTTACAAGTCGATTACTCAATTTTTTCATCTGTTTTCATGTCGATTACGGTTGGTGTTGCATGAAATAATATATATGTAAAACATATATCACTTTTAAAACTCTGTATCTTGTAGGGATGAATCACTCCTATGCCAAGGTTTAGAACTGAATGATGATTTGCAGCGCGTACTAGCCAAGCATCAAGCAATAGTTTCAGGAAATTCTTCTCTTGCAGACAAAAATAAGCCTGAGCCTGTTAGAGGAACCGGGAATGCTAGTGATCCTCTAATTGATACTGGTGATATCAGCAAGCAGTTTAATGAGAGGTAACACTTTTTTGAACAGAATGCAGGGAATTAGTGATTAAAAAATTTGTGTTTCGTGGTGTGCTAATCATGTTCTTATTTCTGGTGTCTCGAACTTTGACTAACCAGATTTCTTCGTAGATCCATCTCCGGCGCTGCTGCAAGTTATCAACCAGGTAATACCGCTCCAGCAGCAGCGAGTCCCGAAGTAGACTTGCTTAGTTGCGATGACTTCAATTCACCAGAGGCAGATAATTCACTGGCCATTGTTCCTTCTGGAGAACCACATCAAACAAGTCCTGCACCAGAGCAGATAGCCATTGTTCCGTTTATGTTATCCGATGGTAACAACACCTATGGTTCCTCTTACACACAAGGTTTCGCTGGACAAACCAATCCTTGGACTCCTCCGTTTCAGCACCAGCAGAACTTCCATGGGAACATGGGTCCTTCCTGGAATAATCAGCTGGATCAGCAGCAGCAGCTGTCCCTTTCACCTGTCTATGGTTTGTTTCTGTTTACGTTAAGCTTTTTATGCATATAGATTGATCCTACTTCTGGCGCAGAGTGCTGACACAGACGCATAATTTGATCACAATATGTCGCGTTGTTAACACCGTTAGTATCATCAGTCAAATTTTACCCTCAATAAAACTCATGCAAATTCGTACTAACTTTAGAAGGAAATTATTATAAATTCAGTAAACAAACCTGATAGTAAGCAACTCTTGACAGAAAATACTAACATCAGTATGGTCTTTTCTCTTATCAAATTCATGTGGTGATGTTCTAGGCTCCTTTGGCAGGCTGAATGCTATATATTCTTGATATACTACATTAAAACCGATGACACTTACTTTTTCCATGTTGAGAAGGTCACCAGACCGGTGGCGTACTAACACTACCACTGCCACCCTGGGAAACACAACCAGCAGGCTCTAGTCCAGTTCCAGGTGCTCAGTATCCCCAGCCAATGGTAGGCATGCACATCCAGCCGATCACAACCGGTAATTTCTCCACAATCGATAATAACCGGACGATGCAGGGAAATCAGTTTGCTAGTTTTCACCCCCAACAAAGCCAAGGAGTTCAGTATATTGGCATTGTTCAACATCAAATGGCTCCTTATAATCAACAAGCTCAACAAATGTATGGAAAACCACAAATGGGAGCATCATCAGGGTATGTCCAGCGGCAGTATCTTGATCAGCAAATGCATAGGCTACCCATTAGAGATGGCAATGGCTTAAACAACTCTTCTTCATACCAGGTTCCAAGTTCCTCTTATGCTCCACCAAGCAAGCCATCGGAACCAGAAGATAAGATGTTTGGAAACCTTGTTAATATAGCAACAGTTAAACCAACAACAAATAATCCTGGAACACCTGGTACCATGTGAACCCCTGAATTTCTTTCAATACTCGGATAAGTTAATTTGAGATTGTTATTCAGGTTTGTAATGATTGATTCGTATCGAAACTGTTGATATAGTTGTAACTCGTAACTTCAAAAATATATTATTTTTCGGAATTTCTATTTGCTTTGTGTTTGATTGAGACATTCTTCCATCATTTTTTCACTCCCAGAGTATCTGTTAAAACTGCATCGGATCTGGTAATTTCAGACATGATCCAAAAACAATATAATAACTATGGCATGAAACGATGAACATGAACTTACCGTATTTAATACATGTATCGTATAAATTTGTAATGTTAGTGCATTAATCGTAGCTACCAAACAGTCAGATTACAGCTTGTTATTAAATTGTACTTCTTTCTTTGTTCAGTAAGGAGGGTATTAAATGTTTGTCATCAAAAGTGACAAATCGAGATCAAATAGATGATAACGTGACTGCCATGAACCTGAAACTACAAAATTTCCATCTAAACATGTAAAACAAAGATCATCGATGCTAATCACAAGAGAAGCAGAACTGGAACAACAAGCCATAGGCCTTAACAATAAACTGTGTTAAACTAATTTTCGGAGAAATGAAACATATCTGTCAATTCATGTCTGACTGGTTTCTCATTGATCAACACTTCCAGAATTCATCATGTATCATAACAAACAATGAGAAAATTATTATGAAGTAACCCTTACAGATTTCAAGTACGGAATGAAACAACACTCCATTTTGCCAAGAAAAATAACGATCACGGACCAGGGGTGCTGTTATAAAGGCATGCAGATACCTGCAACATTGAAAAACATGAATTAGAAAAAAAAAATGATATGTTACCGTAACTGATCAATGATCACTATGCTCAAATTGAAAACACACGAAATAACAGCATGAACAAGATATTCATCGGTTTTAACATTATTCAATCAATTTATCATCACTATAAACAGCAGTACTTTATCAAGCATACAAAATGCAGGCCTTTCACAAAATAAACTATCACCATGCATGTCTTTACTGGTGAATGCTGGAGGGCATCACAAATGCATGCTATAAGCTATGCTCAATAGAGGAACATCTGACATTTAAATGTATGCAGAAAACTTCTAAATCGTAAAATATACAATTCTCAATCACAAAGTCAGGGATTTTGCATTGGGGTCAAGATAAAAGGAGCTTCGAGTAGAGAAGGGAAGCCAATGCCCTTACCAACCTCCCACAGATTCGGCCCATCATCTCACAAACAGTGACTAACAATAAGCCGAAAGGATTATATGAAACAGTATGACATAATTCACCAATTGATCAACGATTCTTACAATAAAGACATTTTCCCCCTAAAAATCCAATTATGTGGCGTAATACGGATTAACCACAATGGCGTAGCTATTTCACACAATCATTTCTTCACAATCACTCCATTTTTTAGTACTAATAAGCTTTAGTGCTATCAATCTAAAAACAATTAATGTTATTCAGAGAGAGAGAGAGAGAGAGAGAGAGAGAGAGAGAGAGAGACCCTGAGGAATCAAACCCCAACTCTGAGATTCCATAGCAAGAAATGATCTGAGGCGAGCTGAAGCAACCGCGCTGTGTAATGGCATCATTGACATTAAGCAACTCAGCTCCATTGGTAATCTAAATTAAGGGGAAAATGAAAAACTTTAAAATTGTTAATTTGGAGACCAGCAAAATTAATAGTTTAGAAATTCAAAAGTTTTACTTTATGAAAAAGCTCACCTTGAAATCCCAGAAATGCGATTCACTGAAGAAGAAACCTGAAACTGAGAGCTCGATTTCAATGGGGAAACCGTGGGTAACACTGATTTGTTGCTTTGAAGCTTTAAAGGAAGGGACTTTAACCGAGCCGATGATAATCTCGAGATAATAGTCGAACCAGCCATCTAAAACTATCTTCCTCTTCTTCTCCTTTTACCTTCTGGAGTCTGGATCCTAAGTTGCTGTTACAGAGGTTTAAACTTTTGTAATTTCTAGGGTTTATGCCACATTTTTCATGTTTGGATACGCTTCTTAAATCATCTTAAGTCAGTCTTATCGTATTCGGATCGGGTCAAGGGTCATGACAAATTTCAAGTTTCAACCAGTTAATGTACGTGGTCATCATTTAATCTAAGTCATATTTAAATTATATTTAAAATTGAATGACGAATACGAATCGAAGTTTTAGATTCGAGCAATTGAAATATTAAAGTGTGAGAGATATTGTCTTGTATTTATCTTAAATTAGTAAAAAAATTAATGACTAAATTGATAATTATTCTAATAAAAGGGATTTAATTGATACAATTTTAATAATTTAAAATTTTATTTGAAATATTTTAAAATTTAGATGTTAATTTAAAATATGATAAATTAAGAACGTTTTGTATAATTAACTTAAAATGTAGATTACAAAACACAAAATAAATTATTTATAATTTTTTTCTTTTCATCATCATCGATCAAATAAATTTTATTTTATTTTTATTAGTTAATATTTCTTAAATTTTACCAATATTATTAGTTTTCTTTTAATATTTATGTGATTAATATGATAGTGATTCGTTAAAGATTCATTTGAAATGTTTTGAAGTTGAAAGATTAATATATAAAATAAACAAGAGTTTGGGATCGTTCTATCCAATTAAGCCAAAAATAAAATAGATCGCTGAGCAAAGAATCAGAGGTGCATTCACTTTTCAACCTCATCAATATAAAGAAGGCGACCAAAGAAGCTTTATTTTCTCTCTTCCCAGGTAACCTCTTTCAGGTTCGGTTCTAATAAGCTCTCTTTTTTTCTTCTTTTAATTATCAATATTAATTATTTTTTTATTAATTTCATTAATATATATCTTATTTGATTTGATCTCTAAAAAACAATTGGTAATTAATCATTTTCTCTGTTTGCAATCTGCAAATACTACACACTTAATTTTTGGTGTAAAATCGTATCAAATTACTTGTTTCCTTTCAATTTTGCAGCTATTTACGAATATTGAATCTTTTTTTTTAGGTGTCTTTGAATTTCCAGCAAGAAACGAAGTATGCAGGTTAGCTGGTATTTACGTAGATTGCTTGGGTTTTTTTCTTGGTTTAATTATGTTTTTTGTGTGTGTATTAGATCAAATAAATGGTGATTACCTTAGAATTTAGTGTGGGTTGTTGTGAAAATCAATTCTTTCTTTGATTAATATGTTGAAATCTTTATGTGAAGGCATCAAGAGCAAGGTTGTTTAAGGAATATAAAGAGGTCCAGCGAGAGAAGGTGGCCGATCCCGATATTCAACTAGTTTGTGATGATTCTAACATCTTTAAGTGGACTGCTCTTATCAAGGTTGGTTCACACAAAGTGAAAGGGAGGAAGAAAGAAATATGGTTTGGACATTTTTGTTCTTTGGATTTTTTCTTGAATTATATGACCCTTTTTTATATAGGGACCATCTGAGACACCGTATGAAGGTGGAGTGTTCCAGCTTGTTTTTTCCGTTCCGGAGCAGTACCCTTTGCAACCTCCTCAAGTGCGATTCCTGACAAAAATATTTCATCCCAATGTGCATTTCAAGGTATGCTTTATGTGGCTTGATTGCGTTGTATGCTTTACTTGAATGGCACATCATAAAATCAAAGGAAAGGAAGATGTAAGATTGTGTGCTGATATCTTACTAAGCTTTGTTGATCTCCCATTCCATTTGTTGAACTGGGACGAGTGGTGATTTCATTTGGCAGCCACGACTGCCAAACCAAAGATCTTAATGGAGAAGCAGTACTTATTCACCATTGAACATGTATTAGTTTCTTTGTTATTATGCATAAATGAATGCAGTGCTTACTTTTTAAATACATCATGTAACATTCAAGGTTGCCAATTCATCTAGACGGGAGAAAACATGCGGAGAAATTTACGTGAACCCTTTATGCCAAAATATTGCATAGGACTAACAAATTGTTTCAGGTAGTAAACTTAATCTTTTCCAAGTTGATGCAAACCCTTCTGTCTATGAACTTCACTTTAATTACCAGCAAGAGATAGGCAGGAGAAATTGGATCATAATGTCAGAAGTTGACTATAAAATTAAAAATCTGTAACTTTACAATCGTCTATATAATACTCTCCCCTAGATCATGTTTTAGTGATGGAGAAAGCTAGAGTTGGGCTGTTAGTTCTGTTGCCAAGCATGTATTGTAGGATTACATGTTGTTCGATTGAGAATTTTGTCTCTATTTGTCATTACTTTCTTGTACAGACAGGAGAGATTTGCCTTGATATATTGAAGAATGCTTGGAGTCCTGCATGGACACTTCAGTCTGTTTGTAGGGCTATAATAGCTTTGATGGCTCATCCTGAACCTGATAGCCCGCTTAATTGTGATTCTGGTAAGTTGGTCCAATTAGTGCCTTTTTTTTTCTGATGTTTCATTACAAAGTTATTTGGAATGTTAGATGATTATATTAAACCTAAACTTGATAAATAAGTTCTTTTACTCGTTTTTAGCAGTGGTCTATGTACATTACCGTCCATTGAGAAACAAACATCTCTCTGATAGAATAGGTATCAAAAAGGCCGTTTTAGCGAAACAGTGTGGCCATGTGAAATGAGAAAATTAAAAATGAATTGCATAGCATATAAAATTTTCTCGAGAGTAAATCAGAATTGAAGATGTCTCCTGTGCCAACTCCCCATAGTCTCTTTTCTTTTTCCTGCTCCATTGCTGTCCCCATTTCTTTGAGCTTTGATATATTGGCACCCATACAGTACTCGGATCTGCTTTTTTTTTTGATATTATCCTTAACAGACGGCCCTTCCTACTTGTTGGCAGGCAATCTTTTAAGGTCTGGTGATATCAGAGGATTCCAGTCTATGGCACGAATGTACACCAGACACGCAGCCATGCCCAAAAAAGGGTGAAGTCATGATGCTATAAACCATCTTTAAACATCGTTGTACAAGTTCAAGAATATCTCCATCCAAAAATATTAGTTTCAGCTATAACTTATCTTACGTTCAGTTTCTTTCTCAAGCAATATATGTTTGTATGAACAAGATTTTAGACGAAAGAAAGAGACTGCATTCACCAACAATGACTAGTCTTTTGTCGGTAGGTACATCCAATTAAATAAGAGTTTCAGCAAAGCGGTTAAAGAACACTTATTCCTAAAATCCTAAATTTTGAAAATCCAGAGTTCGTTCATCACCTAAATCAATTTAAGATTTTCACCATAATTTAGATCCGTTTATAAAAACATGATTGTAGCATTGAATGAGACATCGCTGTAAATATTAATTACATACAACAGTCTCTTCTCATCGATTTCTCAACCATAGGTTGAGGGGAACATAGAGAAAATACAACAAATTCTACAAACGGAAGAAGAATGTTTTGCTATTATTTTTATGAATCATAACTACATCAAGAGATTGTCCCTGAGATCATCAAATCATTCATAAAGAAAGCACACATATTACGAAATACATTCCCATGCTGTACCCGAGCTGAATGAAACTATTATTTGAGGAACTGATCAAACCAATCACTGGCTTCTTTCACCATTAATGGTGCCATCTTGTGCCCTATGCCAGGTTGCGCGACGACCTGCTGATACTGGCCGGTCAGGATGTAAAACATATATATACACACACAATATAAAAGCAGCAAAACTTCGGCGGTGGTGAGACATTCCCTCCGTCCTAATTATATTCATTATTATTGACTTTCTAAAAGTCAATTTTTAAATTTTGACTATAATTATTTTAAATATTTTAAGGAAAAAATAAAATATATGTTTAAAAGCGGCTTGATTTAAAAATTTTAAAATACAGATTTTCATATTTTATCAATAATAATTTTTTTAAATAATAATGAGTCATAATAAAATATAAATAATAAATGAGACAGTTAAAAAAATCAAAAATAAATCAACATTTTAAAATAAAAATTTTCATATTTTTATCAATAATAAAATTTTAAATAATATTGAGTCATAATAACATATAAATAATAAATGAGACAAAGTTAAAAAAAATAATAAAAACTGAATCAACAATGAACAGATTAACATGCCCTTGTAAATTAGATTAACATGCATTACAATATGGCAAGCATGAATATAGAACATGCACATGCACCCGTCACACCAATGCTTAATGCACACGTGATATTTATATTCCGGCTAGACTTGTAAATTAGATGGTCAGATTAGTAATAGTCAAATCAGAACCGAACTCAACGGATTCTGATGCAACCGATCAGAGATGATATATATTTTTAAAAACTCAGGTTTAGGATAGATTTTGTAAAAGAGAGAATTAAGGTCAAGGTTGGGATAGAGCTGGATTTAGCGTAAAACCAACCTGACCTGATATTTATTAATATAATATCCTATATATATTTAGGGACAATTACAATAGTATCATATATCTATATTTTTTTAAATTATCTATCAATCTTACCAAATATAAATGAAAAAAAAATTATTCCTATTAGGACAGGACATATTTATACCCAAAATTCAAGGTGGTTGGGACAAGCCGGGATCGGATGAAAGTTTTTTAATTTTCTAGTCAAAATCATGACAACCGAAAAAACCAACTCATCTTATCCCGTGCCCATATGATTAAACCAGATTGATCGTGTCAGTTTCGGGTCTAATTCTGCACTAGTTGTCTAGCACATAAGTTCCACCAGTTTTCTCTTTTGTATCTTCAGGGGTTTCCCATGCCAAAGTTGGCTACTTGAACTTGTCAATAAGAGAACCTTATTGACAAACATTGGTAGAGGGATTTCGATGATTTTATAATTATTCAGAAGTGATCCCTTACCTTAAACTTGTCTGCACAATGGGCCTCTCCATAAGCCTTGCATGCCCTTGTCTTGGGAATTTCTAGGCCATCAAGAGGACAACGGGGATCTTCGGCTCCTAAATACAGTTAAAGCCAATAGAAAAGGGTATTAACATACATGGGAAGTTCCAAAACAATTAAATTCCAGAGAAATACAAAAAAAGAAGCACGGTACCATTTACAATCAGAAAAGGGCGCGGTGCGATGGCCGAGACAGTGTTAGGTGCATCAAACTGAGAAGCTAGACCAGGAGCAATCCTATCCCAGACCTGGTCAGATAAGTAGAACCATAAATCGAGATTAACATCAGGTGATATAATAAAAGCACCCCTAATTCAGTTGTGTGTGCATGCGTAAGCATGTCTTTCTCTCCACTTTTATAAAGTAGGTAAATAGAAAGTTACATGGCATATATACGTCAAACATGAGCAGGTAGAAACATAACTAACCTTCTCCACCACTTCTTTATCGATTTCTTTCTTGCCTAAATCAGTACTTGCGGCTGCAACAAAATTATTTAAGAACATCAGAGAAACCAAAGCCAAAATACTTTCTACTAGAAATGAAGCCAGAGAAGGCAACTAGTTTCAGTTAAGTGATACAAATTTATCATAGTTGTATGAATAACTTAGCCATTTCTCTGTGTGCTATACTGGCATCAACTTCAGAACGTCTAGTTGAAGTAGAGGTTAGTAAGCTTGAAATCTATTGATTTTAAGTACGTATATAGATTTAAGATCAACTTCATGCGGACTCTTGGTTTGGATAAAAGATAACCGTCCCTGAATGAACATAAATTGGTAAAACCAAACATTATTAAAAGTTTTTTCCAAGAATCCTGGCACCAGTTACCTTCAAATACAGCCTTTATACTGTCAACTCGAGCCTGCCACTTGTCATTGTCTATTGCCCATCGAAATCCCTACAAATAAATAACATGGTATATTCTAATAACTTTAAAAGTAAATTTATTAATGCTTATATGAATTACAAATTTTCAGTTTACCTGAACGCCAATTATTGGGGCTGCCACCGCATAGCGGGTGTCAGCAAAAGCAGCAAACCATGCATGCATTCCTGCATTTAATGATATTCACATAAACTCAACACGAAGCAGTGAGCAGTTATTTAGTATTTCAGTCCCTTCAAATCTCAGTCAACAAACCTCCAAGTGATTCGCCGGTAATTCCAATCTTAGTAGGATCTATATCATCTCTCTGACTTAAATAATCTGCAAGTTTTATCATATCCCAGACCTAAAAGATAGAAAACTTAAATGAATTGAAATGCTAAAAAAATAACACCAAAATAGTTTAAGGCTAAAATCTCAGAAAAGCTTAAATTAGCATCTCCTTTAAGCCAAAGACTATAAGTATATAATGGAAATTAAACAGCAGATCAATAGTTTGCTCAACTCCCGACTAGTCAGGAATTTCCTCTAAATTTTATCGTACTTTTTTACCTTCGACAATTCTTTGAATATAATAGAAACAAAACATATAAAAGTATAGATAAATCAACAGGATCTGAAGGGATTACCGTATCAAATATGAATGGCATCGTATCCCCGTTTCTCCATGATGATACCAGAGCCTACACAGAGACAGTCAAATGACATTAGAATATCTTCTGAATGGTTTATATCTAGAAACTATAAACAAAATTAAAAAAAAATAAAAATAAAATAAGGGTTTCTTAGAACTTTCCATTGGCACCAATTACTCTTGCGATAGAATTACGGTAAGTTAATCTCCCGGTACATTTTATCAAATCATACAATTAAACAAAACAACCCAGATTAAAGAAATATAGAAGGTAGAGACAATTCAATTACATCTTTGTAAGTTGTTAGGCTGCTGGCACGTTCACCATGGTAGCGGGAATCAACACCGATGGCTACATATCCCCGTGAAGCATAAGCCTAAAAAATGAAAATAAGACTTAGTCTGGCAAAATTATAGATGATAAAAGGAGAAATTGACAAATTCAAAGCCTTGTTACCTCAAGCAATGGACGTAACCACTCTTTGCACTTATGAGTACTATGCAGAAATACAACAGCAGGTCTCTTTTCTTGATTATTTTCTTTCATACTTAAAATTAATAGGGGCAATTTTCCTTGATCCCCAGCCTATAAATGACCAAGATATACCAAGTTTTAATTTTTCAAGAGCAAATATACATATATGTATATACACAAAATGGTAATTGAATTAGCTTGTATTAATGCTTCTTTATTGCCCTAATTAATTTACCTCAGTCTGGAGATAAAGATTTTCCTCTTTAAGCATTTCCTTAAGGTTTTCAATGTTGGCTTTTGGACAAGACTCCATTTCCTGGTAAATTTGCAAATGAAAATGCAGTTAAAAACAGCTTATTAATCACATAAATTCAAACAAAAAAAATCTTGAAGGAGAATTTTACCTCACTGAAAGTTGGCGGAGTAACATCTTGGAACAACGGCTTAACCACAGGCTTTGCAGGTTCCACAGTCAACGGAACTGATATTAAAAAAAGTAAGTATATTCACAATAGTACAGCTATATAAGCAGAGAAACAAATTGGAAATATATTTCAGACTTACAGAGTAGGTAAGTAATAAGTATCGAATACTTCTATCTATCCGATATATAACGTATGGTTAGATTTTTTCTAAATTTCTCATCATATTTAGAGGATTTTGGATTCACGAATTTTTCAACAAAAACGAAGGTCGAAGAATCAAACGCGAGTACTTAATAAAATGAAGAATCCCAGCTAGATAGTGCGTATATGTAAATTACCTTGAGCATTTCGTCTGGTACGAAGTAATTCAATGAACTGAGATCGGATATTTTCAGGATCGGTAACGGCGCCGTTAGATTCCATTTCAGTTATACTCACTCTGCTTCCGCTGCTGCCGGAGATGGCTGAGTTGACGATTTGGATTTGGTATTTATAGGGGATGATTCTTGGAAGGTGAGGTGGCACGTGTGGAAGACAGCACACGTGTCTCGTGGTTGATAACGTATGTCGTCGAGTTATAGTCTGAGTAAACTGGTGGAGGTGAGAGGCAAAAGCAGCCATTTTTATTTTTAAGTGAAGCAATTGGAGGGGAAAATATATATAGAAAAAAAGGTACGAAAGGTAAAATTGAGTATAATGGACAACGTGAGCATGTGGGAAGGAAGCAACCCTGGTGAAGATCCAAAACGAAAATGTTTTGGATATTTGTACTGTTTGAGGTTTATAGTAATTACAATGTCATTTTTTAAATTTAAATATAAATTCTCACATTATTAAAAATATTTAACATTTGTTGGATCATAAAAGATAATATTGCTTCCATCACTTGTTTATTAAATTATGATTATAAAAGTATAAATCATAAAGAGATTTATTATTATTTTCTGAGATTCCGAATTCAAACATCGTATATATAAGATATAAATGTTCATTCAAATGGTCAAACATCTTTAAACAAATACAATATTGTATTCACCTTAAATTTATGGAAAAATATTATTATAAAATAATTGTATTAGCTCATCATTATTTTGAATATTAATATTAATCCTAATATGATAATTGTATTTAATTTACAAATATTTTCACCAATCCAAAAAATTAATTAAAAATCTGACTCTAATTTGATCCGCCTTAATATAACTTTTAATTTTAATATTTTTGTTAAAATAGAACAATAATCAAATAAAATATTAATTTATTTAATTTAATAAAATAACACTAAAGTAAATTTTAATCTAATACCAATTTTTTTTGTAATTTATATGCTAGTTTTATATAAACTTCTATTAAAATAAAACTAATAATATATAAACCCATACAAATACTATTTTTCATAATTATCTCATAACTTGTCAAATTCTTAAACTCGAATTTAATCCGATCATTTTTAGAAAAGTTCTACTTGATCCAATCCAAAACCCAAATTTCATAATAAAAAATATAGTAATTTAACTCTAACAAATCATATTGGGTCAAGATCCGTCCTGCATATTTAACTGCTTGAGCCTTGAAGGTAAAAGGAAAGGGAAACTTAGGGGAATCATAACCATAAAAATCCAAGCAGAGCTTTGTTTGATTCTTTTTCAAAGGCAATATAACGAGGAACGAAAGTGGAAGGTAACCTCGTTTTTTGTTAACCTGCCAGTTTAGGAAGTTGCTCGGAAACCCCACCCAAACATCAACAAAGTACCTACTCCGATGCACACATATTGTTGTAAAACAACCGATTTATAACAGTTAAAATGGTAAACACCTGACCAATCATGTCGAGATCGGATACACAGTGCCCTCCTGTATAACTAACGTTATTAAGAAATATACAACTTGAGGGTTTTAACTGAGATTTCATTACCCTGTATGTACTAGCATGACATCCCCAAAAATAATCCAAGATAATTACTTTACCTGTTCCTAATGTTCTAAGATGGTAAGGGTCTAAAGTGTCTAGCTATCATGGTTAACTCTTAACAATATTAGAATTTGGACCCAATAACAGATCCAAGAATCAAAAGCAGGGAGATGGTGAAACATAAAGAAAGAATGCTGGTTGATAGTGAGAATTATCTTACTCGCTAATTCGAGCTCTGAATCTCTACATTTTCGCATCTCCATTGGGCAATTAGTGCTTTAAGGGCTGATCTGTATTCAAAGCAGAAGATGCTGAACGGAGAGTCTGACCTGTTTGTACAGGTGCTGGGTTCGGAGACTTTACAATTCCATTAGGATAAGGCTCCTTCACTACTGGATTTCCGGATTTTATGGCACCATTTCCCATGGATTCTTGTCTTGGAGACCTCATTGTCTCTGTAACGTGTATTAGGACAAATCATCATTTAAGAACATTACTTGGAACTAACATCTAATACTTACAATGAGAATCTAAAATCTATGACGGAAAAATCGAATAAATCTAAAGAAGGGATGGAGGGAAGAAAAGTCAAATAGATCTCAATAGGGGATGGAGTGAGAATTGTAATGGAGGCAGAAACTTAACTACTTGGAGAATTTCTGAGAAGGAACCCTCATTGGACTTTGCCCCAAATAAAATTTTCGATATTGGTATCTAGAATTATGAAACCAACCAGCTTACCCTTTATGCTCCCACAAGTAATGAGCTTATTGAGAAAATCACGAAACATTGTTAAAACAAGCCCTTCCTGCTCTGCATAGATCTCTGTGTACTCGTGCCCATTTGATGATTTCTGAGTAATATTTCGAGAATGATTTGTCAATAAATTAGGTGACTTCGCTTCCACAAACATTGTATCTTCTTCATCACACATCAATGCACATGTTCCAGGAGACAAAGGCCTTCCATTTTGCACATCGTTCTCATTTGCTCCAGTGTCACCATTTCTATCTGTGTCTCCCTGGTTCGCACTCTTACAGTCATCAGAAGCAGCGCTCGGGACACTACTAACCTTCAGACTCGTTTCATGCACATGACCAGATGAAACAGTAGTTTGAATAGAGCCTCCCTCTGTTTGTTGATCCTTTTTGCAACTTTTCTCTGGAAATTGTAACTGTCACATTAGTACTGCTAAATGCCATCTTCAACAGAAGTAACAAGTATTTAATTGTGAATTTGTGCAGAAGCCCAAGGTGAATCCAGAATGCTAACGATCTAGATTACAAGATCCGTAGATCATGGAGGGACCAATATATTTGACGAGAAACAGAGTTCAAACCATCCCCTTTTTTTTTTCCTTTCACTTAATGTATGAAACAGGTATTACAAATAGGATGACATTCCTGGAGTCTATAGGAAACAATTTTTATTTGCAAACAGATAGCAGATAAGAGTCTATTACAATGCATATGTCAACCATCAGTATTCCAGAGTCCAGACCGAGTTATTTGTCATACATATAATTTTGAAGTGTAACCAAAGGATCACAAGGCCTTCTAAAAGATTATTGTTCTTCTCACCAACTATATAATATCAAGACATTGTTAGGTCAAGTTTATTTATTGTTTTTCACTTTTTCAGCAATATTTCTATATGATGCCCGTTATGCCATATAAATACCATAAAAGTTGTTCCAATTTCTTTACAAAAGGAGGGCTCTGATTACTATGATGGCTTTCAAAAACCATACTAGGACTAATGACTTCGTACCTTTGGTACCTATCATTTAATGGCATTCCAAGAAAGCAAATGCTCAGTCATTATTTTTCTAATAAATAATTGACTGGTTTCACCTATGCAGGCCTAATGGCAGAATTATTACCTTTATCTACATAGTTGCAATTTTCAAACAAAACATCTAAAATGCAAATAAATAAAACAAGATGTTTTACAGATTCGCTATAATTCTATAGATGATAAAAGCTTCTGTCAAGGGGAACTGTATTGAGAAGATGCAGATTGCAGGAAAATAGTGTTATAAGGATAAATTTTGGAAATGTGTGATAGATTGATAGTACGTACAACACATTCTTCATTGTGGTAAACTCAGCCATATGATTAATTAAAAAGTTGAAAGTGATACTGCAATGAAAAGAAACAAGAACTTCAGGAATTTATGGATAATAATTAGTACCTGCAGCAAGTGCCTTTCCAGCTTCAGATGAAACTACCACCCAAAAGGAGCACAGATCCTTTACATCCTGTGGTTGGAGGATGTTCGCCAATGGTGATCTTAAATAATGTAGGTGACACTATTTAGCTCATAAAAGGGGGAAATGAAACAAAAATGGATGCTTCTGTTAATTACAAGCAGAATAAAATAAACACACTTCCTACTTGTATGTCAATTTTGAAGATCCCAGTGATGCAGTATTAGCAGTGCCAGAGACAGTAGCAGATAATGGAGAAGATGCGGCCAACAGATCTTTTAGATGATTTTCCTGGTTGGAATTAGAGAGATATTAGTATCCAGTTTCCCCTTGAAAGAGGAGAGTAAACATCAAGTCATATTTTGGTTGCATTGTATGATAATTAAAATCTAAAAGCAGCTGAGACAAAATCGAAGTGCTTTTTCTATTCATCTGCAAATACCATCCTTTGTGTCGATGTGTGAAGGTACCACACAAATTATATTATTCTTGGTGAAAGGACCACAAAATCCATCAATGAAATGAGTTCTCATGAAACAATCATGATTACAAAACTTGTGGTGCTTGATAGTAAAGGTGGCTATAAGGTGATCACATAACATAAAAAGGCTAAAAAAGAATGTTTTTCTCTGAAGATTGTACAGATCCTATCAGTGTTTTTGACCAAACAAGATGATTCTTGCATGTAATCACAATTCAAGGAATTACCTGTTGCTGTTGAATAACTTTTTGACCAGATTTATCTTTCACTGCTAGACCAAATACGAGTTCTTCACTTTTTCTTTTCTTGGATGCCAAAGGAATCCCAAACCCAGATGAACCAACAGCACCACTAATGGCTGCATTTGCAGCCTGTTGCATGTAAGCTGAGTTATGATCACCATGAACAAGAGCTTTTCTTTCTTCACTTCCTTTGAAGTTCTTGCAGTCCATGCACTTGCAATTTTCAGAGCATAAAATATTAGCTTGGAAGCACTCACAATACTTCTTGAGACAACTGGATTTCTTGCAGTGACATCCTTTATTGTGCTTTCCGACCATTTGGACATCATGTGCATCATCCTAGATTTGTTTCAAGACGATAAGAAACTTTTAAAAGTCGATAAAATCAATTTTTCATTTTTCTATATAAACAAATATATTGATCTTTTCATATCAACTGATGCAATGACATAATACCATACCTCAAGTAAAAAGAACTAAACCAAAAGAATAATAAAATAGACCCAGGTTAACATTATTCTCAATGTAACCCTCAAAGAAGGAAATTAAAAGGGGAAAATCTCATCACTATTACTTGGTACCACTCATAATGAAACTGCTAGAAGATGCCAGATAACATACCCTGATATCCTGAGGTCTGTGGGGACTGCTTGCAATCTTCGGTCTAAATGCATTTGGATTGCGTTCTAAGGTTGCTCCAACTGCTTCTTTCCTTGCCGCCTCATTTTCCACATTGTTATGGCAATTTACACAATTGCAACCGTTACAATAAATTCCAGAAGTAAAGCACTCACAGTACCTAATAATGACAAAAGATAAAATGCTAAATAGTAACAGATAAATAAATACAAGAAAAAGATATAGACCAAAACCTTGAAGCCACAAGTACAAAATACCTGAAAATACTGGTCCAATTTAGATAAGACAATCCTATTGATAATAGATCAAAAATACATGGTAAATGATAAATCATATAAACCAAATCAGTGTTTTTCAATTGTAATCTAACAAAGATTGTTTCATATTTCCACAAGCAAACCACTAGCAAGAAGAAGGTAATTGATGTGACTAAAAAGTTTTCCTTGAAAAGAACTTCATATATACACCGAGAATAATGGATCATCTACCGCAGACAAACAACAAAAATGGAGTAAGCAAAAGTCAAGCTACAATTTGAATACTAGTACAATGTTTCCTGAAAGTGAAACATTAAGCATTTTGCTTTGTCACCACAGAGATCAACATCACAATACCATGTAGCACTTTGATATGCATGACTTATGGATCAAACGTGTAATTAGAGAGGTGACAAAGAATTCAAATAAATGTTAATGAGCTTACAACTTCAAGCACCGAGAATTTTTGCAATTACACTGCTTTTGTTTCTTTGGAGTTCTATCTTTTGCTTCAGCATGTGCTCGTGGCCTGGACCTCGGGGACTCTTGCTTGCTGCACAAACATATATACACAAAGAGTCAAAAACAACATTATGCAACAACCATATTTCTAGTTGTAAACAATGTTCTCATTATTCAGCTGTCTACATTGTCAAAAATGTCCAGAAATGTCTCTTTAAACAGAAAAGACCAAAAAACCAAACAGATCACATTGATCTTATAAAAATTAGATTCTAAAATTAGAAGGAAAAATATCCACGAAGATGGAATGAATCTGCTTTAGGATAAACCAAAAGCTTATTTAAATTATAAATAGGCTTATTTACAAGATAAATATTATTTTAAGGTATAAAAAGCATGATAATTATTTCTAAAGAGGACATTCATAATCTAGACGGAATTTGAAGATTTCATGAAACAACTACCTCAATTGAAATTTTTGTATCGGAAGCTTCTGAACTGGATGAGGCACCCGTTGCATGAAGGTAACCGGCTGCGAAGGGGGAGGCGGCGGCCGTGCTTGAACTCGTAGCGTTGACGGTGACTGATGTTTTAATTGTTGCAGCGGCTGCGATTGCACCGTTTGCGGCTGTAAACTTAACCGCAATTGCAATTCCTGCGGTTGCTGCTGAGGCTTTGTCGGCAACGCTGTTTTAGATTGCCATTGCGGTTGAGGCTGCGATTGTAAATGCATCGAGTGATCCGGTAACGTCGCACTTCCCGACGCGAGACACCCCACGGTGAAATCTAATTGCCTCGCCAATTTCTTCGGTGTGAAATCCGAAACCGTTTCTCCTTCCCCCATTACTCAATCTTCACAACATAAAAAAACAGTAAATTAAATTGAAATTCAAAATTAATAAAAAAAAAATCGCTGAGCTATGGTTTTTATTCAGTTTACCGTTCAAAGTTCCGTTAAATAAAAAAAATTAAGGTCAAAAGGAAAGCTTTGAAGAGTGAAGAAGCTAAGCCGCCATAAGCATAGAGCTCTGTACTGAATTGTACGGCTTTTCACCTTCGGCCTTTGCTTTGCTTCGCTTCTCTCGAAATATATAAATTTGAAATTTTACAAAAATCGTCGGTTAGATTTGTTTTAGATTGAATCGAACAGGTGAAATTGAATTTTTTGATTGACGGATGAGATTTGGGAGAAGAGTCTATAATTGTTGATAGCCGTTGGATTATGATATGTTTAGGGCCTTTTTTTTCTGGCGAGGTAAAGGAAGTGAGATTTGGCGCTAATGGAGTCCGAAAGCGATTGGATTCTTGTCTTATTGAAGACATGTACGGTTAAGATTATTTTATAGTCTAAAATGGATGGACGATATTCTTCTAAAGCCTTCAAGAAGAAACGCTGTCGCTTTGATGGATATTCTACCCAGTGAAGCAAATAAATTTAAATTTCGGGAGTATAGATATTTCATTTGTTCAATTTGAATTTCTATTTTATCTTTTGAACTTTATAAAAAGTAAAGATAAAAAACAGAACCAGAAAAAAAAGTACAAATAAAAATATATATTGGGTTAATTTAAATTAATCTTAAATTTAAAAACATTCTAATCAAATCCTCACTCTTTTCAAGATTTTAAATTGGTCCTAAACTTCGAAACATTATAAATTTATAATTGAATCTTCAAAGTGTTGATATTACATCAATTACATTATTTGAGTATCAACTATTATTTTCATAGTGATCTTACTAGTTAAAGAATTATTAATATTTTTTGAAGTTTCATGTTGGATCATCATGTAGAGGCGGAACGTAGTTGGGATAGATAGGGGCCATGGCCCCCAAAAATTCAAAAAGTTATAATTTAGATTCTTAAAAAATTTAAAATTTATTTGGCCTCACAAAATTTTTAAAATTTTAGGTTAAGCTTTAATTTTTTTGAATGATCTTAATTAAACCCTTCTCGTAATTTCAAAAAATTCTCATTAAGTCTCTCAAATTTTCAAAAATTTTAATTAGACCCAACTTTTTTGAAGAAAATATAATCTGAACCCTTCAAATTTTTGAAAATTTTAATTTAAACTTCTAATTTTTTTAAGTTCCCCAAACTCTATCATCAAGTTCTGTCAATGTCATCATGTATGCCAGAGATATAAACGTTCAATATTAAATGGTTAAAGGTCTTTGAACATATATTATAATGTACTCAACCCATATTAATAACTAAATTAAAAGGATGTCGTATAATAAACTTTTACAGTATTTCATTTGAATTAAATAATTAATAAATTAGATACCAAAAATTACACCACAATTAAATTATGTCTATCATAATTACGAAGAAAATGTAGGTTACCTCATCTGCATTTAAGCATGTGTGTTTGATTGGATCATGGCCATCATACGTTTAAAGTTTAAAAACATCATTCATTATCCAAATCAAAAGAAAATAATTATTTTATTCTTAAATTAAAAAAATGAATTAGTTTCATGTTAATCTATTGAAATTGAATTCGAAGGTACGTCCGAATTTTGGGATGATTTCAATGAAAATATTAGATCTCATAACTATATTTAAATTAAAAACAAAACAGACTCATTTAATATATTAAATGAGTTTGGATTTTAACATTTAAAGTATAATATAAGATGCATGAACTTATTTATCTCAGTGATTAAAGGAATTATAATAGTAAGTGATTGAGTGTTCATTGTCAAATCGTTAAAAGTATTTAGAACATATACTACTTTGTAAACACCTTAACTTAATAAAAAAAAGTCTAATATGAGAAAATGTCACATATTTTTTTATAGAAAGTTGTTAGTTTTATTAAAAATAGAAAATATACAAAATTACTACGAAGATTTACAAGCATAACCGTAAAATTAAAATATAATTATTACATTTTCCTATTACCATTAGGACAAAAGTTAGCAACCTATATCACATAAAACCAAAGAATGAAAATGTTAAAAAATCTAACAAAATAACTCTAACAAAATAACGAATACCAACAAATCTGACTGCATCGACAAACGAATCACAAAATGGGATGAAACTACTGAAAGACCACCGACAACTCGCAAATCAGAGTTGAACGACGTGAGAAAACTATCTATGAAAACAAAGCGTGTATCCAAATCAATTCGAGAGTCCAAAGCAGGGAAAATCACTTTAATAACAAATAAGTGTAATCTTGATCAGTTGTGGCGATGTCAAATTCAACCCGGAAAAAAAAACGAAAACAACGGTCAAAAAACCGAAAACTATCAAAAGACAGAGATAAACGTGTCACAAAGGCAAAGATAAATGTGTCACAAAGACAAACTTATTTTTATTAAAAAACTAATAAAGAAACAAAGAAAAAAGATAACCAGTGGTCGACAACCAATATCAAAACTAGTGTCGTCGCCCGATTAAACAAAATCAAATAAAAAATATAATTTGATCTATAGAAAATGACACAAATTGTAAAAACAAATGTAGGGAGAGAGGGACTATCGTTTTTTTGATTTCCAATGGAGATTAATTTTTTTCTTTTTTTCACTTGATCAATTTATTGTTGATTTCATTTAAAGGTAAAAAATTCTTACATAATTTATAATATATTATATTATATTATTTATATATAATATAATTTATATCACACAAAAATTAATTTTATAATATATTATGAGAGACCTCTACAAAAACAATTGATAATACACATACTCTGTAAAAATAACTGCTCGAATCCAAAATCTTAAAACAAAAATATTTTATTTTATCACGGTAGTCATTTGATGAATTATATAACCCTTATGTTATATGATACATATATGTTGAGTTAATCGATCGATGGAATTGGCCAAGAGGAGGGTGAATTGACAATTAAAATTTTGGTGGAAGCTTTTGCAGAAAATTGAAAATATTTGCACATCGATTTAGAGTGGTTCGACTTTCTCAACCAAAGTCTAAGCTATCCACACTAAGGATTTTCCAACAAATCCACTAATTTGTTCTTTCTTTTGAGGACAAAGAGTAACCTTACAACTCCCTCAAGAATTATACCCCAAATTCTTGAGCACATTCTTTTTCAAAGAGAAATACACAAATTTACAATCTTACAAGAAAAACCTCACAAGGTAGGTTATTTGCCCAATTGTAGAACAAAGAAAAGAACACTCAAGAATGAATACAATTGAGTAGAAGTAGTGTTCTTGAAAGCAAAATGAATATTGAATGAAAAATAGGCTTGAAGTGCTCAAACAATGAGTTTGATGTTTTCTCTTTGATTCTCTCTTGATTCTAGCTTCTTGTTGCTTCTATGTGTTTCTTCTTGTTGATCAATGGCTTCTAAGCTTGTTTAAATACTCCTTCAATTGATTCTGAACGTTGGGGATGATTAATGGAGTCAATAGAGCCGTTTGAGTGTTAAAACAATTAATAAAATCAGTTGGGAGTGTCAGTGCATCGATGCATTCACAAGGTGCATCAGTGCATCAAGTGTAAAATTCAAATATTTTTACCGTTGGAGCCTTAGTGCATCGGTGCACTAAGAGTGTATCGATGCATAAAGTGCATTCGATGTTTCAAAATAGCAAGCATCGATGCATGTCTTGTGCATCGATGCATCAAATGCATTCGATGTTTTCATAAAACCCTGAGTGCATCGATGCATAAAATGCATTCGATGTTCAATTTATTCAATGGTGCATCGATGTATGGATTGGTGCATCGGTGCATCCCTCTGAAAAATTGATTTTAAGCTTGATTTTGATTCAAAATATTTTGTGAAAATTGTTTCAAAAATATATTAAGTATAAAACACAATTTTACACATTTAGTAAGGTTTTAAATTGATCTTGATAGACTTGGAGTAATAATTTGATATTCGATTAATTGAATCGAATATACTTATAAAAATATTTTGTAAAATCTTAAAATTCATTTAACTTAGTTTGTTATATCGAAAAATCAAAATGTTTTCAACAATCTCCCCATTTTGTTATAACAAAACATTTGTGTAATTTTAAGATTTTGAAAATTAAATTTTGAAATCAAGTTTGAAATTACTCCCCCTTACTCTAACACTTCTCCCCTTTAACACTTTTACACTTCTCCCCCCTTTTTGTTAAATCAAAAAGACTCTAAAATGTTTTAAACAAGGTTTTGAAAAGCATAGCCAATTGATAATAAGTAAATAAGACTAAGCTGCTAAGATCACAATCAAAAGAGAGATTAGCCATTAGTTTCATAATCAATATTCATAATCAAATGTGAAATGGCATAATTGGTCATATATGTCTAATGATGCAAAAATAAGAAAATTCAAACCGAACTAAATAAATATGTATAAGTTCAAAATCCATAAAGCATCAAATAAGTTCAAACATCCAAAATAAACAATCCAGAAACATCAAAATCAATCCAAGTTTTAATTTCAAGAAAACATAACAAGGAAAAATATACTCCTTCGGAGGATCGGGAGGAGGAGGAAATCGTGCTTGCATCTCAAGGGAGAGAGCATCCATACGTGCAAGCATCTGCTGTTGAAACTCCATTTGTTGAGCTTCCAAGGCATCTAAGCGATGATTCACCGCTTCATTGTTAGAAATCAAATGGGATTCGATGGAAGCAAACCGTAAATCAAATGTCTCCAAAAACGAACGAAAATATGGAGGCACTTGATCCTCTTGAGGTACTGGTGCATTATCGGGATCGTCAATGTCTTGAAATAATCCTTGAAGCTCGGGATCATCATCTGCAGCCGGTGCCGGAGGAGAAGGAGGAGCACGAGAAGAGCTAGGAGCAGCTCGTGAAGAATTAGCTCTCGGAGTTTGCTTAGAGGGTCGAAAGACCCATTGACCAGTTTCCTCGTCCTGTTTCCAATCAGCTTTCTTCAACGAGGTGAGATTGATTTGGTTTTGGAGAGGAATGGGATTGTCAAGAGAGACGTTTAGACCGAGTTTGATAAAAAGGTTACTAAGAAGACATCCATAAACTAATGTTTCAACATGTTTTGAAGGAATAATGTTTATGATATCCACTAGCTGACTAAATATGATGTGAGGCAATTTTATTTTGTTCTTATTCTTGATA